TTCCGAGAAATTCACAGACAGAAACAAGAGGACAGAAACACTCTTAGTATTTGCAGACTAAAAGAAGGCGTGAAAATGCCCAGCTCCACTCTGTAAATGTCCAAGAAATATTAAAAGCTGGTTTTCTGTTACTGTATATCGCTTTAACAGAACAATAGATGCACAGTCTGTTAAGTGATGAAAGCCTGAAGTTAACTTCATATTAATTTTTACTAATCCACTGAAGCCAGTATGGTTCTAATAGACACATGTGGGTTTTGGTTTTATGCTGGTATAGGAGCAATAGAAAACTATTAAGGCTGATACGGGGTTTTGGGGGTTTTAGTTTTTGGTTTGGTTGTGGTTGTCGTGTCCGCCCCCCCAAGATCATTCCAAGAAAAATAGTATCTGTTTATAATTACATTGTAATAGACCTGTTACAAACAACTTTTTAAAAAAATGTATTTTATGTGAATACTGCTGACCATATTGTTTTAGATTCTTTAATTAAAAAGTCATGTGGGACTATGCAAAAAAGCCTTACACAATGTGAACTGTTACAAAATACAATTGCAACTGTCAGTAAATTAGTTTACAAAATTATATTAACATCACTCATCTACAGACTCATGTTAACTCCATACACTTGAGTGACCTTATCACATGCTTAACACCTTCCTTAGATTCATTACATTGTTTTCTACAATACTGGGGGGCAGCAGGCAGACTTTGTGGAACAACAATAACTTTACTACAACATTTTCTATACTATCATCGTTACCCATGTATGACAATAAAAGGAAAGCAGAAAAAAACTACATATTAGAGAGCCAGTTCTTTTTTTGTCATTTACAAATGTAGATCTATACCCTATCTTAATCTACGCTAAACAAGGCTTACAGCTGGAGTATACGATTTTCCCCCCACCCTAGGTGGACAGCTGACACATCCATACACCTTAATTCTGATTTTTAGATGCCCGATCCAATATATCATTATATTCCACTGTGATAGTTGCTACAGGTATTGTAGAATTAAAGATACAGGATGCAAAGTAGAAAAGCAAAATCCCAAGAATGAACATAATGCTGAAAAAAATTCACAACCAGCTATTAGAATAGCCTTTGCATTATAACTATTGCTCTGTTAAAAAAAAAAAAAAAACCAAACCAAACCAAAAACCAAACAAACAAGCCAAAACCCCACAACCCTCTTGTAATGACTCTTAGTTATGACAACCCCTGAAAAAAAATTAGGCACTTAACACTGAATAACATGCAAGCAAATTAAAGGAGGCAGAACACAAGCATTAAAATTAAAAGAAATAAATATATCTTAAGAGAAAGTACTTTTTAAAATATTTTTAAGAAGATAGGGAAAAAAAAAAATCCCACATACTATCCTGTCTCTTCTGTTCCAATGGCCACAGCACTTCCCCTCTGATTTTCCAGCACAGCAAGACTTCCTGTACCCAACCTCTTGAAACTAGACTCAATACTTCAACGCAAACAGAAGAACATTTTTTAACCCATCAAGTAATGATGTATGTATAAGAGGATGATGATCTATAACTTTGTCAAAAAAACTCAGTAAGAGTCATCTAGTCTTTAAAGGCAGATGTTCTATTCTATTTTTCAACATTAGGGAGAAGTACCATGACAACACTACAAAGTAAATTCCAGATTAGTAGCCACAGTTTGCGCAGGTTGTCATTCAGTACATAGAAGCAGATTTTTTTTAACCAGCAATACACAACAGCTGTTGTCAAATCACAACACATGTAAACTTACATTCCTTTGCCTTTTCCACAGATCATTTGATGTACTGTCAACAAAAGGATTACTAGTTAAAGCGAAGATTGATGCAAGAACTGCACAGCGAGTATGTCACTGGCTACGGAGAAGATAAAAGAGGATATTCAGAAAAAGGTACACTGGAGGTGATGAGGTTAACAGCACTATTCTGCAGGCTAGTCCTCACCACTCATCTCAATACTTTCATTAATTTAAAAAAAAAAAAATACAATATATTACTTTCCTTGTATCATCAATTCAGATACAGAATATCCTGACAGAAGAAAAATATGATCTTTAGGAATGATCTAATAACCCTCTGCTTAAAAAGTAAATAGTACAACAACTTCTGAAATGAACTGAGCAGTTCTGAAATGAATGATGGAGTTACTGGAGAGAGTCCAGTGAAAGGCCACAAAAACGATGAAGGGACTGGAGCATCGCTTCTGTGAGGAAAGGCTGAGAGAGCTGGGACTGTTCAGCCTGGAGAAGAGAAGTCTCAGGGGAGATCTCATCAATGTACATAAAAACCTGAAGGGAGGGTGCAAAGAGGACAGAGCCAGGCTCTTTTCAGTGGTGCCCAGTGACAGCACAATTGCAAATGGCAGTAGGCAGACTGAAGCACAGGAGGTTCCCTCTGAACGTAAGGAAACACTTGCACAAGTTGTCCAGGAGGCTGTGGAGTCTGCATCCTTGGAGGTATTCAAAAGTCATCTGGACACAGTCCTGGGCAACTGGCTCTAGGTGGCCCTGCTTGAGCAAGGGGTTGGATCATGTATCTCCAGAGCTCCCTCCCAACCTCAACTATTACGTGACGCTGTGATTCAGTGAAAGAGGAAGATGATATGAATGCTTTAACTGCACAATAACTCAGTCAATCATACAAATCAGGAGTGGCTCTTGGAATTAGTGGGATCCTTTCCACCTAGAATTTTATAAACCTTACTAAAAACCTGTCCTTCCATCTTAAGGGTGGCATGCAGTGGCAGCAGAAGGCAATGGAGGTTTAAGGAAATGATGCTGTATAAATGAAGAACAATAACAAGCTATTCATTGTCAAGAGAAAACTGACAAGACAAGAACCAAGTAGTTGTTACACAATGAAAAGCTGAAAAAAATGGCCACTACCTTGTAAAGGACCTTTTAGCTTTCTTTCACACACCCCTTTTCGTGCCCAGCCCTAACTGCCTGCCTCTGTGAGCCTGAGGAGTGCCAGAGAAATCCCCACCGAAGGCTCCGGCGCAGGCACGGTTCGGATCTACTTCTTGTGTATTGTTGCACTGAGTCTGGTGCAAAAGCAAAGTCATAAGCAGTTCTTGTGGATGGTTCTTGGCCACCCTGCCTGTGTACTAGCATGCATTTCCAAAGTATCAAAAAACACGCCTGTGAAAGTATCAGAAAACACGCCTGTGAAAGTATCAGAAAACATGCCTGTGCAGTAGCATTCAGCCGGGATTTTGCTGACTATCTTCAAGCTCGCAGAAGTGAACATTTGGCAGCTCAGAATTTTTTTTTTTTCTATCTTGTTCTCTAAAACCTCTGTTGTATCATACATGTGCATGTGTTTGCTCACAATCGCCGTCTTCAACATTTTCTGTTGGCATCAATCAGCTACAAAGCATTAGAACCACCACTGGATTCAATCATAATAATGAGAAATGAGATCCACTTCTCCGGTTGCCCGTCCTCAAAAAACGTTAAAAAAAAGAAAAAATCCAACTTGGAGAAGTGAAACGAAGGTTTAAGCCAAGAGCCTTCAGTTTCCTCTCATGTTTGAAGCAGGAAAATGAGATGGAAGGCTACAGCTGTTTGTTAAGTCCTGCAGCAGCAATGCATCAGGAAGAAAAGGCTGCGTCTACCCTGGCAATACAGCAGAGCAGTATAGCAAAAGCATACACAATGGTTCAGAAGCTAACATCACTAATAAGAGCTAAAGAACATTCAAAGTGGGTTTACACAGGACCTTCTGGTCTAGTCTTCTGGAAAGGGACCTAGTTCATATGCACCAAAATCATTCTGAGAACCCAGTAAGCACAAGCCAAGTCATGAAATTCAGATTGCTTGATAATTGCACAATTTTTCTAAAAATCTAAAATAAGTATTTCAGATCAGTGACATAAGAAAAGGAAGAAATTGGTATTAAATCATTAAAATCAACTTCTGATTTCAACATTTTAAGGGAAGCAGTGAAGGGCTGAAGACCTCAGAGCAGGTGAATGAAATAAAAAAAAAGCCACCCAAAAGCTGGCCTCAAATAAAAGAATAATTTAGAAACCTTATACACCATAGCTGGCCTGAAGCTACATGGGATGTCACCTGATTACTCAAGAGTTTCCATTCAGTCTTGCTGTAGTTTCCCTAATTCCTTTCCGGATACATTCTGGCTCTATTTTGCCCACACAAATTGTTAACTACTTGAGAACGAACCTTGATTAAGTCTGTGAGGCACCCAGATCTTTAAATATTTGATAAATAATGCATAATAAGCTCTAATGATAAGACACCAAATATGGAAGATAAAATTGAAAACTATTTGTTAAGTAGTTTTAGCAAATTGCTCATTCTAGTACAAAGCTGGTTTGTAAATAAGATACCATAAGATACCATCTCTTCCAGGTGTTGTTCTGCAAACGGCACTTCATAAAAGATGAAAAACATGAGGCACTTAATGTTAACTCAAAAATAAGAAAAAATATGCTGCACAACTATATTGAATTTGCACATTGTTTTCATTAGAAAATGCAGATTAAGAATCAACTGAGAAGATTAAAGCAAGGAAGCTGCAAGCTAAACAAGTAATTAATTGGATCTTTGCAGCTGCCTAATATGGAGCTACCATGCTCATCCACGTGCTATGAAGCCTTATTTTTACTAACTGTTTCATATTGTGTTTTGATCTCTACTTACTGTAAGGAACTTTCCCTTCATGTTTACTTTATTTTTACAAAAGACAGTATCTAAAGGACTCTTAGATGAGAATGTAAGTAAGCATGCTGCATCCAAAATAAATATCTGTAATAACAGAAGGATTTTTGTATTGGAATTACTGTATATAATCATCAAGATGTAACATTTACCTAGTGACATACTACTGATACAATATGTGCTCAGTGAACAATATATAACAAAACAGGTAACTCCAATAGAAACATTAAAAGATTCTTACTAGCTCTTTTTATGAATGCAGTGTCAAAATTTATGCAGGTATAGATTTTATAGATGCAAACCAGCAGCTTAGTGTTCAAAACCTGAGGTTACACTACTGTTCTTACTTACCATTTCATATCAGTGGTTTTTTTACTAACAAATTTCTATTGGAATTGTAGCTATCAGCAGCTACGTAGGTGGAAGACTGTAAACATCTAAATATGCTCTTCAAAAGCTTTATGCAGAGTAGTTTAAAATTAGGTTAAAAATTGTATTAAAAGCTTGTTATTGCACAGAAATCTTCCTTTGACAGTCTAGCAGCTATTCAACTGTGACCGTATTCAAAACATATACAGTTGAAGTATATATTCGTGACTTGTTCACAGCGTAAAGTACCTGCATGCAGATGTTAATTAAAGGTATTTTTAAAATGAAGAGACAGTACTATCCTGTATCTTTCCTTTTTTTCTATTGTGGATAACTGAAAAATGAGACAAAAGCATTCTAAATATCAGAATATGTGCAGTGAAGGCTTCAGTACTTCCAAATGACTGCAGGGGAAAAATTTTGTAATATACAGTAGCTTTAACTAAATTATTAAAAATAAAATACAGTTTATTAATTTTTTTTTTTAAAAAACCCTATAGTTCATTACAAAATTTGATGCTTGGACATACTCTATTAGGGTATATTAGGGTATGTCCTGCTAGGACACATTTACAGGAGATGAAAGGAAGAGATCAGACCTCTACTTATGCTCTGATTTCATTCATCATTGAATATTAGCAGTTAATAAACAAACAGTTACAGCTTCCATTAAAAGTTATCAATCCACTTATTTGAGCAACATTTCATTTAAGTGGAGTAGCTGAACAGAAAAGGCTTCAACTGTAGCAAAATTACTGTGTAAATATCTAAAGGAACCAGTAACTTATCTCTTCTAAAGGTCAGCACTACTTTCAATTTACTTTCCTGATTTAAAGCTTAAAGTAATTCCATTTTAAAATAAAGTAAATAAACATAACAGATATTACTTACTCCGCCAATCCTAGTATTGTTTCTCTCTTGTACTGTCCATCTGCTGTAAACCTCTGCACATCCACTCCTTTGCCAAGTCCTTGCAGAATCTGAGCTTGAGTGAAATCCAGTAGTCGTTCATTGTAGTAACGCAGCTGATTTATCAAAATTGTGATTTCTTCAGGCCAGTCTGTACAGCCATGCTGAGTAACATGCTTTGTGACCATCTGAATCAGGTCTTTTGGATCAGCCTGTGAAAATAATTTAAAACAAACTAAAAAAAACCCACTGTAAATATCTGTGGAAGAATTTACCACTTTGTAATTGATCCCTGTATTCAGAACTGAAATATTTTTTCTATTTTTTGGAAGTTTTAAGCACAACAGAATTCCAAATTTTCTGTAAGGGCTATTTGCTATGACTTCAAAATTTGTCCGTTTGGAAAGTTTTAGACTATTCCATATGCTACAAAAATTTACAGAAACTTGCCTAAACAAATTAATACTAACAAGTACCTCACTATGACTGAATTTATTTCTTTTTAAACCCCTCATTTTGATTAATGTTGAACTAGGCAAATGATTGGTAAAACACTTCAACAAATCAAAGAAAACTTACCAAGTTCACAGGTTCAATCCCTGCTTACTGCAGGGGGGTTGGGCTCGATGATCTCTCAAGGTCCCTTCCAACCCAAAGCATTCTATGATTCTATGAAATCTCTCCTTAATTACAAATACTATAAGTAACTTTACTCTAAAACAGAGACTCTATCTCAAAAGTAAATCGAATGGAAGCAATATTGCAAACTGGGGGGGGGGCGGTGGGGAGGGGCGCGTTGTTACTGAATTTCTGATACACTTCTATCATACAGAATTGATAAAAGGAATAGCTTGGCATTTTAGAGTGTCAAGCACTAATACTTTCAAAGAACGAGAAGTGTTGCAGGATCTGTAAATTACACATGAGGCATCGCCTATACCATGAAACCTTCAAATAATTAAATATTGATCATCCATGGATTAGGACAACCTTTGTTTTCAAAATACCTTCATCACAAATAAAACTTACTTTTCTGCATTAGAAATTATGCATCTAGTCCATATTTAACCAACCAACAACTTCCGTAGTCAAAGACACACATAGCAAAGCAACAATTTAGAACGTGAAACAAATAGTCTGCGTGTTTGAAATGAAAGAGGTACACATGTACTATAGAGTTCCCAGTTATCTCAAAATCTGGACAGTGGCTATGTCTAGGCACCTCCACTCGAACACAGCTGTGCGCGATATGCAATCACTCAGCACACTCAATACCTTGATTTCTCTCTTCCATTAAAAACGAGGCCACCAGCAGCACAATACCCACACGGCAGCACCGTGCCTTCTGTGTAGCACCCACTGAGGAGTGCGGCCAAAAGAGCCACCAAAAAAATACCTGGGGATGCCAACTGCAATTGAACTATTTTTTAAAAGTAACAGCTAATTTAACTGCTGTGATCTCAAGAATGTTGAGTGTACTGGACAAATATACTTTGTATTACAGAATGATTCTGCTAAATTAGAAGCTAAACTTATGAACATTAACCCTGCACAGCAGGGTAAAACATGCACCAAATGTTTGAACCATGAAGCATGCCTGAATTTTTCTGTGACATGCTGGTCACTTTAAATTGATTTTTTTTTTCCCCTTCCCTTTTTTTCTTTTCAATTCTTAGCTGACAGGCTGCTCACCAAGTCATATTAAATGCTAAAGGGCAGCCTTTTTCCTCTCCACACGATATTTTTCTGAAGCCCTCTAAACATTGCAAACTCATTGATTTTATAAACACCACCAGTAGTTCTTTCAAGGTTGCTTAGGAGATTAGTAACAGAATAATAAAACCTCAGAAAAGAGATAGGCAAGCAGAGCAGTACCTCTACAATACAATTATATCAGCTAGAAACCAATCCACTGCTTATTATGTACCCTGGTATGTCATTTTAGGTGATAAGCTAGAACCTGAGCATGGAGACAGGGAAAGTCAGAGCAAGATGAGGAAACCTGTTTAACATAACTGCCTAAATCCTCTGTAAGAAAGGCAGGTCCCTCTGACAACCTATAAGGGTAAATTTGCTCTCTTTTGCTAGGTTTCCCCTCTCTCCGTTAAGAGTAGAACCCAATGTCAGCGCTCTTCTTCCAGTGCACAGCCCACCGGATCATTCATAAAGTCAAAGATAATCTTGAAAGCATTTCCAAACAAATACACCTGAACTCTTCCTTGAGAAATGGCTTCTGAAGATGAAAAGATAACATTTTGAATGTTTCCTGAATAGCACATGATTTTTCACCTTGAGGTAGAACTAAGCTTGAGTATTTACAACAATGACTTAAAATACTACTAATTACTAAGGTAAATTAAAACCATTTTCTTTTTGGTCCACCCTTGTCTTCAATACATTGGCCAACCATCGTCTTTAAACGTGAAATTCCTTTTTTTTAAAAAACAAAACAAAACACTGCCACTTTACTTCCAACCATAACATTCTGACCAAGCTGTCACCCTCCCAAATGACATCTATCACTAGCACCAACTTTTATTCCCCATTTGTTACATCTCCCTAAGAGCATCCGTGTGCAATCTTCCATGCTGCCTGTTCAGCCTTCAAAGGAACACCTTAAGGCTCTCTAATCAGCAGTATTACTGCTAATACTTTTGCCAAATAATACCTACAAAGATGTAATAATTCTGCAGTTCTGCCAGGACTGCTCTTTATCAAATTTGGTCAGTACTATTTCACCGTTTTTCTTATCTGAACCTCTTCCACCTCTTGTTTCAACACGAGGTTGTAATAAAAATAAAATAAATAAAAACCTGGATCAAGGACCACTGTGTGATACAGTAGTACCACAACAAATAATAACGATTACAAACTGTTACAAGGAGTGAAAGAGAAGGAAGTGGAAGGTAATCTGATGTACATGTTGTTTAAAGGATCAGTGTGATCCTTGGATGTACATACGAGGAACAAGAAACAAAAAAATTAGAGAAATCCCACAGCCAGCTTCAAGCAAGAGCCTATACTGGTATCTGGTGTGAGACCTTCTAGGTTTTTTTTTAATCTATGAAAAATAATCTTTCCCAAGTTACTGTTGTTTGCAAAACTCATTTACTGGAAACACACACAGTTTTCCTTCTCTCAGATTTGTCATCCTTGTATAGATTTAAAATGTTTTCTTAAATAAGAATGTTGTTTGCACAGTATTTATTAGGCATTCAACACAAGCTCAATGAGAAAATACAAAACCTAAACTGTTTGGTATCAAGCTGCATAGAACTTGTATTACTTCATAATTTTACATATTAAACATTTCACATCTTCACATTTGCAATAATACATCTTTTTTAAAAGATAAGCACAAATATTTCTACGTCCATGAAATACGTAGTTCAGCTGGACATGATACCTGTTCTAACAAACACTAATATAGAAAGGTCATAGCTGTATTGTCAGTATTCAAAAAAGTCTTAACAGTTTTTAATCGAAGAGACCATAATAACTAGCTAGTAATAGTAGCTGGCCATAAAGGAAATCAGCAAAATTGGTAAAGGCTGACTCTTACTGCAGCATTCATAGGGTTTACAAATGCTTTGACTTCATTAAAATTGTAACAGGCACTTACAAAACAAAATCTCTACAGCAATTTCTGTAAATACAAATGAGTTTGACAGGTAAGACAGAAAAGAAGTCATATTCAATTTGTTCTCCTTCTAATGCTGTCTGTCAAAACCAAACAAAAACCAAACCTCTACTACACTGTTATCTCTGCTGGCTTTTCGGAGTCTTTCAGATACTTAGAAATTGTGCCTAGGTGTCCAACTCCCCGCTTCGCCAGGTGTATCTCCTCCAGTACTTCTAGACAGACGTTTCAACAAAACAGCTTCCCCTCCCTGATCACTCAGGAAGGGTATTTTACATATGAACGCAACAGCAAACATTGGGTAAGTGTCCAGAGAAGCCAGCAGAGCGGACCTAAATGTATTACACTCTTAACTTGTGAGCCTCCCTAGCATGGCCAAGGGAAATCCCTCATCAACTACCCGCCAATGCATTTTACTCACTCTTTGGACTAGCACTATGTTTGGTGGTGTAACAGTGTTGTCTTGGCAATAGTGAAACAAGCTGGCATAGGCTTTGCTTGGGAATTTAAAGAAAAAGAAAAAAGAAAAAAGCACCCATCACTTTACGTAAAGATAATTTAATTGCATGCTATTAGGTATGATTTACTCAGCACAGATCAGGACAAGTTGCTATCAGTATTGCACCACCAGCCATTACCAGTAAGCCTCAGCTGGGGACCAGGGTCCCCCTGACTAGAATTTTGAAAGCAGTATTTCTCTTTGCCCATCCTCTGGGAGTTGCACCTGGGAAGCCCTTCAGAATCTATATGTCACTGTGATATTATAAAAGCAACAATAGTTTTAAGAAGAGATGAGGTTTTGATTTTGGAATTTCTTCACCTTGATACCTAATACAATCTTC